AGCAGGGGCATCTCTTTGTATAGAAGGGAGAGTCATTTCCCAGAGGCTGCTATAGTATTTGTCCTGGAATTAGTGAGTTTCTGGATTCCTTAGGCCCAGGTTTCTTGCTGCTAGGATTAATAGAGAGTTAAATGGTGGTGTGTTTAAAAATTACCAATTCGACATGATTTTCTCATCAGAGATCCTTTAGGATGAAGTGTTTTACGGAGTGATGCTAAAATAAAAAGTAATTTAAGAGAAGATACAATTATAGATGCGGAGAGGAGGGTGGTAAATACCAGGGAGCAATTACACTGAAGGATAACAATAGTACATGATCAAACCAGTGAAAAATGTAGCCTAGAAATTAGAAGGATCCATTTAACAGGGGACTGAAGTTGTAAAGCATCACTGGATATGGGTTTGTAAGGTAAGGAGCTTAAATTCTGCCAGGACAGAATCACTCCTGTTGTGCTGTAAGATCCCCTCTGTGGGCACAGCAGGAATGATCCCTGAGTAAAAATTCGATGTTGTCTTGGATGTTTTCTTTTGCAGGAAGTGTTGAATGGAGCCCAGTACCCCTTTTGTGGTCATAACAAATAAAGTAGAACTTTGTCATTCAACAGAAGGATTGTTTTAGCTTTTATTTAAACATTTCCTTTGCAGGCTTCGTGAGCTCCTGGAGGCAGAGGAAAACAGGTATTTTGCTGAGATGGACTCACTTGAAGAAACGGTACAGGAGAAACAAGAGAAAATGAGGGAGCGAACAAAATTACTGAGAGAGAAGAGAGAAAAAGAGAGACAACAACTGGTGGCTGAAAAACGAGAGCAGCAATTCAGGTATTGCTGTAAAAATAAGTTATAAAAGAGAATTTGCCTGAAGTAAATATAAAGAGGCAGTTTAACAAGAAGGTGATAATAATGAACTGAGGAAGGAAAGGTGAATGTGGTTAAAATGATAAAACAAAAGAAAAAATAAGGTGAGCATCCCTGCATTTTCACCTGCCAAGTCAGCTGTTTTGTAATTCCTTGTTCTGGCGTGTAGTTCCATTTCAGCTTTATACTACCGGAGTGAAAAGGGTTCATGGAAGGTTAATTTGGCCTCAATCATGCTTATTAAGCTAATACACTAAAGATTCTTGAAAAGTTAAGCGTGTCCAAAAAGACAGTGGTTTTATTTATTGTATACTTTTAAAGAACACCAGTCGAAGCTAAGGTTTTAATGCAACCTGAAATTCTGTGCCAAACCTTCCTGACTTTGGCAACATCTTTTGAAGTCATTAAGATTTGCAGGTGCTTATCAGGCCCTGAGGCCTTGGCATGAAGCATGACTTGTTCAGTTCTTGGAAATCTGGTTTTCTGAGAATGGGAAAAAAAATATATTAATGTAATTTAATTGTAACCATTGGAAGTGTCTCTTCCTGGTCTCCTACAGTGCTATGGAAATCCACAGCACTGACTTGTCAGTGTGCAGAGGCTCAGGATAAATATCGACGCGTTCACTTGTGTATAAACTCTAATTAACTAATTTCACAGATAAATGTTGGTTTCTTAAATGTGGGGTTTATTGACCGAGACAGTTGTTAAGGCAGCGTATGCACTTCTTAATTCACATGCTGGCTTTAAAATATGGCCCTCACAATTTACAATTCCTAGTTTGTTCTCTACCCATCACATAAAGTGGTTGAAATTCACGTTTAAAATTGTTTAGAGGAGACACTGCTGGAGCACCTTTTCTTTTGTACTTGTAGCTTGTCTTACGTGCCAAGGAGAAGGGATTCAGCGTGTGATTTAGACACCTGAAGGTAGGTGTCTGTGTGTTGGTATCTTTATATTCACTAGGAATCTGAGATTGTGTTCTACTCAGTAGATCTTCATTGAGATCAGGACAGTTAAAGGAACCTAATGTCATCCTAAAGCTAACATAGACCAGTCTGCTGGGTGAACTGCACCCAGCTTCCATTGACTGCATTGATCAGGTTCCTATTGATTAGAACGGGAATTTAGTTCACATGTAGACTCCCATTTTAGATGCCTAATTTCAGCTATTTTAATTGCAAAATGAACCCCACCAGCAAATCTCATCAGCTGGTGATATGTACTTGGACTTTCATGCTGCAGTTGCCTGTCTTAATGTATCAGGTCCTCCTTCTTCCCAGTACAACCTACTGATATATGGTGCACGCAGTCTCATGGGATCATTCCCATCATCCTTCTACCTTTCCCAGTCTGCTTTTGTGTCTAAGCAATATTCATGTCACATAGTTTCCCATTAAAAAGTGTTGCTGGAGCTTTACTAGGTGGCGTTCTGCTGGCTGCAGTATTTCAGAGGATTTAGACAGCAAAATTATTTTTCTTCATAGCTGTTGTGAGTGGCAGTCTTTGGGTATCTTTGCAAAGGAATCTTCATCTGACAGTGCACAGAATCCTTCTTTTTGACTGTCCTGATGTAATGGAAATATATTTCCATACTCAGTTCCTCCCTCCATTCCTCTACTTTTAAATGAAGGGCCCTATAGAAACCCAAAACTTTAATAACACCAGCTGACAACAGTTCACCTTGTCTGTTGGTCTCTCCTTTGAAAGACATATCTTTCCTCATGTATATGCTTAGTAATATTTTAAAGTCTTTTCTTTCTCTGTCCTTTTCCAGTGAGGAAAGAAGTCTTTACAGTGGTGACTGTTAATGTCTTAATACATGAATCTGTATGTATTTCTCTTCTTTCGCAGTGCAAAATCTGTTTTCCCCCACTGTTAGCTGTTACTCTGCCTCCTAAACCATCTTGGGCCATGCAGAGATCTGGGAGCAGGCTCTGCTGCTCAGGAGACCAACACTTATTGAAGATCCACAACCAGAAATCTGTAGTTGCATCATAACCTGTCCTATAGGGCAGTGGTCTCCAAACCTCTTTGATTTCTCACCCCTATAAGTAAAAATAGTACTTGCCCTCAGTATGTTTAATTATTTATATACTTCTACTCCTTAACTGCTTCTATACTTCTGCTACTTATTTATATACTTCTGCTACTGAACTACTACATTATGTATATTATACAACATATGCAAAAATAAAAATTAAAAAGAGGGCGAGGTTAGGATTAAATAAACAGTATTTATATTTTTAATGTTACTTAGTAATGGTACAAAACATTTTCTCCCTGCACCCCAACAGATTGTCTTGCACACCCCACTTTGGAGACCGTTGCTCTAGGGCACACCCAGAGGAGCCCTGGGAGGCCTTTTTAGTACAAGGTGGATACACACATGATTTTCTCTTTGCCTGTGAATTTACAGCTATTTTGATTGCCTTCCTTTGTATTTCTTTTAACTTTAAGCAAGGTGCTCCAGTTTTTTGCACTGTAGATCCTCAAACTTGAGGTATAGGAGCACCTGTAGTGTACAGCAACAGGCAGCTCTTTGATCAGCAGTGCGGGCTGGGTTTGGAGCTGTAGCCTGAGGGTATAGATTTAACAGCTTCTCAGTAGTGATATTAGCCAGGAAGGAAGAATCCTTTGTCCCAAGGTGACAGGTCACACTCCATGGACCACTGGAGTCCTGCTGGAATTCATTTTCATGAAGAGCTACAACTTGTATGAAAAGATACTCAGCCAGTTTTAGCCTGAGAGCATGTTCATTGGTGGTATCTTTAAAAAAAAATTGCCATCTCTTTAAATGTGCATAAAACACATATTATATCCTCTTTCTTGTGATAACATCAGAAGCATCCATACAGAGAATGTTGTTATTACAGCAGCTTTGTACTGCACCCATAAAATGAATAAATAAATTGGGGCGGGGGGCAATAAATGGAGTTTCTGTCTTTGGGAAGTGGCTACATACAGGCACAATTTTAATGTTAAGAAGCTTAGAATAGCGAAGTGAGGAAGGAAAAACAGCCATCTGGGGGAGCAGATGTTTATAGGTTGCTGTAAAAGCTGCTTTGAAGGAATTATTTTGATGAAATCAAGCAATTACAGGGTTATTTTATATTAAAATTCTAACCATGCTGAACTTTTATTTAACTTCTCTTCCCCTCTGAGAATTCAATTAAATTCAGATTAGTTTATAATCATGAAAAAGGATATCTAATTCTTTATTCCCTCACGGCTGAGAGAACTTTGAACCCATTGTGTTAAGGTAATACAGTTATTTCTAATGGTGTAAGATTTCAATCTTAATAATGGCATGTTACCTTCAGAACATTTGAGAAATATGTTTTTCAGGAATGCTAATTAGTACCATAGTTTTTAATCACTGCTAACTCCTGTCCAGGAGTTGGAAGGTACATCCAAGTGTTAAAATAGAAGAAACCTGGTAGTGATGGAGTATGTTTGTTGACCTGCTTTGAAGGCAGGGGCACCTCTTGGGGTGTGCTGTGGCTCGTGGTGTGCACATTGCTGTGCTGCTCTCTGGTTTCTTGGAGGTTCCCATCTCGTACAGGAGGTGAACTGGCTGCTTGAGGCTTGGATGGGCACACGCTTCGCTGGGTAAAAAACTGGCTGACGGCCGGGCCCAGAGAGTTGTGGTGAGCGGAGTTAAATCCAGTTGGCGGCCGGTCATGAGTGGTGTCCCCCAGGGCTGGGTGCTGGGGCTGCTCCTGTTTAACATCTTCATGGATGATCCAGAGGAGGGGATCGAGGGCACCCTCAGTCAGTTTGCAGGTGACACCCAGCTGGGTGGGAGTGTTGGTCTGCTCGAGGGTGGGGAGGCTCTGCAGAGAGACCTGGCCAGGCTGGAGCCATGGGCTGAGCCCAACAGGGGGAGTTTCACTGAGGGCAAATGCCGGGGGCTGCCCTTGGGCCACAACAACCCCCAGGGGGGCTACAGGCCTGGGGAGGAGTGGCTGGAGAGCTGCCGGTCAGAGAGGGACTGGGGGGGTGAGAATGAGCCAGAGTGTGCCCAGGGGGCCAAGGAGGGCAACGGCATCCTGGCTGGTGTCAGCACTGGCGTGGCCAGCAGGGCCAGGGAAGGGATCTGAGCCCTGGGCTCGGCACTGGGGAGGCCGCCCCTCGCTGAGGGGGTTCAGTGTTGGGCCCCTCACCCCAAAAAGGCCATTGAGTGACTCGAGCATGGGCAGAGAAGGGCAACGGAGCTGGGGCAGGGTCTGGAGCACAGGTCTGCTGGGGAGCGGCTGGGGGAACTGGGGGGGTTCAGTCTGGAGAAGAGGAGGCTGAGGGGAGACCTCCTGGCCCTCGGCAACTCCCTGCCAGGAGGGGGCAGAGAGGGGGGATGAGTCTCTGGAGCCAAGGCCCCAGCGCCAGGCCCCGAGGGAATGGCCTCAAGCTGCCCAGGGCAGGGTCAGGCTGGCTCTGAGGAAGGATTTCTGTGCAGAAGGGGCTGTTGGGCGTTGGAATGGGCTGCCCAGGGCAGGGGGGAGTCCCCGGGATCCCTGGAGGGGTTGAAGAGTCGGGCTGAGCCAGCGCTGAGGGATCTGGGGGAGTTGGGAACGGTCAGGGGGAGGGTCATGGTTGGGCTGGAGGGGCTGCAAGGGCTTTTCCAACCCAGATGATTCTGTCATTCTGTGAAACAACCATCACTTTTCACTAGCCTGCACCAGTGTCTGTTCCTTCGTTCCTGCATTTCCTCACCCTTCTCTTCTGAAGACCTGAATTGAGTACGGTTTTGAAGTGCTAAGGCTTGGACAACAGGCCCAAGCCAGAGCTGACCCCTAGATGAATCCTGTCTATTTTATCACTGATAACCACTGTGCTAGTAGGGATTGTGCTGGGTTATAACAAACCACCTGTGCTGATGTAAAAAGTGCCCAAGTGCTGAAGTGTTGAAGCCTCAACATCAGGCCCCGAGCCGCAGCTGCTAACTTGGTGTGTAGTCATTAGTGAGCTGTGTGTGCTCACTGGTGAAAGATGTAGCTTAGATATCATATACTCATTACTGATGATGAATGTAATGCAGACATGTCTGTCCTGAATATATTTTTATCCTTCTTTGTGTAGGGGCAAGTTAACAAGGCCATGGAGCCAGCTGTCAGCCTGGGGACCAGATGTGTGACCTTGCTCTAAATAAACCATAAATCGATTAGATAAGCAGGGAAACTTCCTTGGCTTCCTCCTTGAGCCCTGGCCAGGCTCTGGGGGAATCTGACTGGGGAGTGAAACCAGATATTTTTCACTCAAAACAGAGGTGCCAGCTCTTCTGACTCGCTGATTTTGGGGTACGTAAGGCTGGGCCCGCTCGCAGCGACTTTGGCTGCCTCAGCTAGGGGTGGACACACCGCGTGGGACTTCCCACTTGCCAGGAAAGGCTCAACAAATCCTGGTGCAACCGGGGCTGCCCAGTGACTGCGGGTCTGGGTGACGGTAACGGGGACAAGGGGTGATGGATCTTTCTTAACCGCTGTTCCCTCTCTCACGTAGCAATGATTTGATGCATTACCCTGTATTTCCCTGTTTGTTTCAGTGCACTAGTCTGTCTTTTCTTACTGCATGTTTCCTGTATTACTCCGTTACATTATTTAATTATCCCCAGTAAAATACTCCTACACTTGTCACTCTGCTGTCTGAGTTTAATTGGTATCCTTAATCAGCAAAACAGGTTCCTCGTTCCAGGGACAGTTTCTCCTTTAGAGGATACAAGCCCAACCCCCAGAGAACGCAACGTCTGATTAGAGGATGTGGCCTGTCCTAGTATTGGGGCAGAAAAGTGCCAAGTGTGAGAGGTTTTATCTAATAGAAACTTGATGTTGATGAAGAGGGAGACTTGGCACATGACTTGTTTCTTCCCAGAAATAGGAACAATTAAGAGGTTAGAAATGCCTTCTGGATATCAAGTAAAATGAGAATTTTGTTTTCATGGCATCACTTTCCCTTTTGTCATTTGTGTATAGTGCTTAGCACCTTTCACCACTGCCTCAGTGGCATTAGGTGCTTTACAAATAGAAGATGAAGAGAGAGATGCCCTTCGCCTCAGAAGATACAGCTGAAATGTGAGGCAGCAATCAGTGAATGCTGACAGGAAGAAAATGTGGCAAAACCTCTGCTTCTGTGTGAAATGACAGCGCAAGCGCTGTGTTCTCTGGCTGTATCTCACTCCTGCAGCACCAAGAGAGAGGGAGGTGTAGCAATCTTTCCCCTCTGCAGTCCCAGGTCTGGTTTTGCACGGCTCCACTCTCAGTTGGCCTGGTTGGATGGCTGTCACCGTGGCACTGAGAATAGGGTCAGGTTGGCTTTCAGCACTGTCACTTTTTCTGGCTGTCAGCAGCTTGTTCAGCCAGTTCTGAAACAGAGGAGGGATATTCGGGGAAATGCTCTTTGCAGTTTGTAAATCCTAAGTAATTTTTATTAGGCTGGCTTAGCATGGAGTTTTATTGGTAAAGCTTTGGAAGATCTTGTAAGCCAACACATAATTATTACACTCTGGTATTTGCCTCAGCCACGTATTAATGACACCAGGCGCTGTGCTTGTAGGCTTGTTAGCAGAAGGTGACAAAGGAGCAGGATCAAGTAAAGAAGCCATTGTTTTAGAGCATAATCTTAACTAGTTTTAGGGCAGAAATGAGTTATAAACCACCAGTCACATCCTGTGTTGCTAAATTCTTTCCCTGTTTGCCTCATTGCCAGTGGATGTAGCAGGTGACCTCAGGGAGAGATCAAATTTGCATTGTTTCTGTAGCTTCTGTGGAAGTGTGAATGTTCCTAGTAACTCTATACCCAAAACCCAGGTCAGAGAATATAGATGTGGGTTTAGATGCAGATAGCAGCTATACTGGACTTAGGAATCATTTAGAAAAGTGAAGACCTTGCAAAGACAGATCCGTAGCAGAACCACGGAACATCTAAAAGCCCTAAGTATCTACCTTTAGCGCTCACAAACGTAATTTTGCTTTTAAGTGGGGAAAAATAATAATCTTAGGCAATGGAATTAATTCAGATTTTGTTTTATTGCTGTAGTTATGAAAATTAAATAACTATCCTGATGTGGAGACTGATAGTACTATGAGCTAGTGACTTGATGACTATTTAATATTTTTGCTACACAGGATTCTCAGCTAAACATTGTATAAAGTAGTAGTATTTCACGTTGTACAGGTACCTGCTGCTGTCATGTGGTGGCTCAAAATTCAGTCAGTGATATCTTATGATGTCTGCTATGAATTCCTAAATGGCATTGCAATGATCTGTGGAAGGTGGTTTCATTCAGCATGGAATTGTGAGATACCTTTTTATTTTGCAGCATTCGTGTGTTGTCTATGGCACATCCTTAGAGCTTGTAGATCCTTAACACTTGTAAATCTACACCACTGTCTGCTAGTTCCACATTTTGATTTTATGAAAATCTATATCCTGGTTGTAAAACAGAATTAACATGCTTGTATATTGTTCAAATTAAATATTGTTTGATAGCATACGTTGATCTCAGTACTTCTCTGTTGTCAAAAATAAAAGCAGAATCTGTAAATAGCTGTTTGTTCTTCAACCACAGATAAATATCTGCTCACATGCAACTCAGTTGTGGTAAATAAACAAAAACTGAAAGCTGCATTACTTGTTTGACCTTCTAGCTTCTCCAGACTTTTAATGCAACTTCTCTGAATTATCCCACAAGACTTCATTTTAAAAAAATAATCCATTTCTAATAGTTCCTATTCAACTGTGTAACCTAAATTTCTGTGCTCAAAGTATTTTCTAAATGCGAGTGAGCTTTCAAGTGGCTAATAAACCTATTCTGTCTTCGTGTGAGTAAAGAGCAACCTACAGATTTGAACAAGTGTAGTGTGCACGTTAAAAAAAGGTGTATGTATGTATGTATATATATATATATATATAATATATATATATATATACACAAACCCTCCACAATGTGTGTTCCAACTACATACATACATTTAATATAAAATACACATTGTATATATGACATGGATATATTGTGCACATATATATAGAGGGTTTTTTACAACTGCAAATATAGGATTTATCTTCAACTTGTTAGTGGCAAAATCTCCATCAAATCGGGCTCTTTGTGATTCCTTAAGCCTCACAAGGAGTCAGCGTCAAGCCAGGTGTAGAATTGGCATCCTGAGCTGTAGTCCTCTGAGTAGTTATCACCTGGGAGCCTCCATCCATCACACCCTTCCAGACTTACTTGCTTATTACTTTGAGACTTTTTTTTTTTAAGCTTTTATGTTGCCTTTTAGAGAACAATGTGAGGAGCTTCGCATACAGTGGATGAAGAAGCATCAGAAGGAATTGTGTGCAGACCGGCTGGCCCAGCTAGCTCTGAAGGAGGAATTGAAAAAGCAACAGAAGAAGGAGGAGCAGATGTTTGCAGAGCTTTGGGAAGAGGATAGGTTGGCTAAGGAAAAACGAGAGGCAGTGGAGAGGCAGAAATCAGCAGAACAGAATCGGGAAATCTTGGATGTGCTCAGTGCCCAAGTAGCAGTACTCAGTGCTCACAAAGAGGAGGCAAAGCAGCTGAAGGAAGAAGAGGCTCGACTGCTGGTAATTTCCATATCATTCTCAATTCGGTGTTGTTATAAGGCCCTCCTAATGATAGGCTTACCAGACATTTAGATTAATGCTTACCTTATTTGTATCTTCACTGATTCCATTAATATCTGAGACTGTCCTATTATGTTAAGCCTCTTTTCCAAAGCTGTGGCAAATGAAGTCCTGTTTACAGAGGGAAATACAGCTTTGGAAACTTAGCATTGTAAAGGCTTTTGGCATTCAAATCCTCTCAGAGCCTTTGTGGGAAATGGAAATATTTTTAAGCTTTTGCCAGACATCTTTGCAATTTTCTGATTTCCAGTTTCTTGCGGGATAGCTAGAGAGTCTTGTGAACCCACTGTAATGCGTGACACCAGATCTCAGGGCATGGTATATATGTTTAATCATCATGATAAGTGCACTGGGGGGAAGCAGCAAGTGTGTGCTGCTCCCAGAAGGGAAAGCGAGCCTGGAGCTGAGGGTGACAGCAGGGCAGGCCAGTACACTCCTTTCCAAAAAGTGTCCCTCTGTACCCAAAGGAAGGGGGCAGAGCAGAATCCCAGAATCCTTCAGGTTGGAAAAGCCCCTCAGGATCATCGAGTCCAACCCTCAGCCCGACTCTACAAAGTTCTCCCCTACCCCACATCCCCCACAGCTCATCCCAAAGGCCCTGAAACCCCCCCAGGGATGGGGACTCCCCCCTCCCTGGGCAGCCTGTTCCACTCTTGGACCACTCTTGCTGGGAAACATTTTTTCTTAATGTCCACTCTGAACCTCCCCTGTTGCAATCTAAAGCCATTTCCTCTTGTCTTGCTGGCTGTAACCAGGGTCGTCTGACATCCCAAACTGCTCAGCAGGTCTGGAGTGAGGAACTTGAAGGTGAAGCCAGGAATTCAAGTCAGCAGGTCTGGGTCAGGATCAACCTCAGGCACAGGCGTACCTGCAGCATAGCTCACGAAGGCACCAAGGGCAGGAGACTGAGTCTAACTGTAGCTCAGCCTAACTGCTGCTTCCAAGCAACTCTTCCCAGCCCTTTCTCACCCTTTTCCCAGCTCTCTGATCCAAGACTCACAGGTTGCAGAGCCTGTTGGTGCGCTCAGGACCCTGACACATACGTGAGAAGACAATTTATATGAAAAATCCCAACTGCTGACTGAATTTCAGAATCTACATCCATTTAATATATTTATTTTTAAACAAATTAGCAAGCAGTGCCTAAGCTCTCTCACCCATTAGTGCTGGCTGCTGTGGGGCATCACACTGTAGGAGGCAATGAGCTCCCTCGGCCCAACTCTTTGACCACAACCCTCCTTTTTCCTCATCTCTCCCATGTGTAGACTTGCTGCAGTTGTGCTGGCTTTAGTTCACAGCATTCTGTGTTGACTTTGTGAGTTGTGGGAGACTATTTAGTTCAGGCTTAGTCTTCGTCTTGGAGCTATTTACATGTAGCAATTGAATGAGCACTCAGGGTACTCCCAGGCACTGGAAGCTGATGTTGCCAAGAAACTCCACTACTTCTTAAAAATAATGACAATATTGAATCTAAAGCTCTGAAAATCCTGGCTGTAAAACAGTAAAGTCCTTATTCCAATCTAGACTGTAACGTTTCACTTATTTAAAAACATGCAAAAGCAAATTATTTACTTGTAAACTTTTAAGGCACTGCCAAAACTTCCAGGCAAAGAACAATTCTACTTGACAGGCCTTTTCAGAAAACCACTCTTAGAATAGAAGACTTTGTAGCTTCCCCTGAAGACAGCTGCCCTGGGCTCTGTCGATGAGATACATTTCTGATAAAGTGGTTTAGTCTCTGAAAAAAAAGTTTTCTTCAGAGGGTCCCTAAAGGAGAGGTTCTGTGTTGAAAATGGGACATCATCCTTTTTCAGCAGAAGAGGGATGTGACAGATGGCCTCATTACAAATTTCTCAGTGTGGAGTTGGTAGCCTGTAATGATCCAGGGTTTTGTCTGGGTGAAGGACACACTGTGGACAGCCGAGTGTCTGTATTATGGTTTCTTCTGGTTGTTGCAATGGAAATACATAATTTAGTGAAGCAAAACTTGCACCTGTGCTACAATAGACCATACGTGTGTATTCAGATCTCTCAGGCTGGATGACAAAACAGACAGCAACTTCTGAGTTAGCGACATTACCTACATTAGCTGCCTTTCTCCTGCTCTGTCTTTTCTCTCTGTTGTAGAATTGTGCTTTCTTGATAAGGGGATTGAAATCATGTTATTCTGGCTGTAGCCTCACAAGTGCTAGACAAATTTCTGCCATAGCACTTTGGTCCTGGCTTGCAGATGGACGGTTGGTAAGAATTTCTTTGTACATTTGCAATGTTGAGTTGCCCCATCATATAAACTTTTATAGAATAAGCACCATAAATCCCATCCTTGGCTACTCTCATACAGCTTCACTGACATCAGAATTCAGCCTAAAACATGTGCCAGATTGCCCAGTAGACTGCTGTTTCCACCTTCCCTTCCTTCTTTACTGTTCAAAGTTTTTTTTTTTTGGATTACTTAGTGGTTCCAATAATAGATAGTGAGTTTCAAAGCTGTTTTACCAGCTCCTGAAAGTGAATTTGGCCATTGAGGAAGACAGCAAACTCAGCTTTGGTCTTGAAAGACTGGAAGAGTCAATGGGTGCTTTATGTCCAGCATAATGAATTATGTTCCTTTGGAGGTGCAGTTTGTGCTTCAGTATGAGGAAGATTAGACACGTTGTTTGTGGTAAACCTGTTGGTGCGTGTTAGAATATTTATTGACATTACAAAAGAGACATTGAATTTAAAAACAGATTAACAAAAAACCTCTGTACCTTCCAGACAGCTAGGGCATTGTTCCTGAGACCTGCAGATAAGCTAATGATGGCCACAAACTGTTTTACAACTATGAGTGCTTGTAAACTTACTCAAATGCAGGATGTTCAGGAATTACATGAAGTTACTTTATTAATGCTGCTTTGGGATTTTTTTTTTTCTTTTGGCTGAATAATCTTGAATATACATATACCTGTTTGATCTTGAATATACATTTGCTAGTTTTCATTGTTTCATTCTTAAGAACTCAACTTTACATCCATTTTCCTGTTCTTTCCAATATAAAGTGGGATGGTTTGAAGACATGAAAATTCATTAATTGCCTGTCAGAATATAAGGATACAATTAGTTTGTGCAACTTTATGTCTGCTAGAGATGCACTGCTCTGAATGTCCAGCACAGACACAGGACAGAAAATATATGCAGAAACAGGAGGAACACATGGCTCTGTTACCAGTCAGTGGTTATGGCTGCATGTGAAGACTTGGATATAGATCATACATGCTGCAATTATATTGATTAAAAAAAACCCCCAACCCTCTGTCTATCCACTTGACATCCTTGGAGTGTATCTGGCATTCCAGTGTTTCAGTACTGAAGCGCGTGTGATTGTCAAAGAGAAAAATCCTGAATTCTAATGAATGGTATGCTAAAATGTTCATGCTTTAACAGGTCTAATAGATGCCAATAATTCTCTAATACCAGGAAGAAAGGCTTTAAAAATTTATCTTTGCTCTTCGATGTTCCAATCAGGCTAATTCTAGCTATCACTTAATTGGAAGTTATGTGATGATTTTACAAGGTGGCTATTTTTACTGTTGTAGGAAGAACAACAGCAACTGCTTCAGCTAGAAAGTAAACAACTTAAGATGGCAAAACTACAGAAGCAGAAGGAATGCAGGGATATGTTGCTCAGTGCAGCACAGGACAAGAAGAATCGTCTTCATGAAGAAAAACAAGATGAACTTGCCCTAGAGATGAAGATCTTAGAAAAATCTCTTCCCCACGAGGACGCAGAGGAGAAAACAAAAAGAAAAGTAAGGGCCAGAGGTGTTTGTTGTGAAGTTGTGAAGTGTTGTGAATGGAGTGATGCACTTCACTTGTAAGAGTGAAGTAGAAATATGTGCATTGATATAAAACAACGATTTAACAAAGCTTGATAGTAAATGCCACAGTGGTTTAACAAGATTCAATGGCAAGGCTCACTTGATATTTACTGCACAGAGGACAGGGGCCAGGGGCAGACAAAACTGTCAGGGAGACTCTTGTTGAGTCATGAGGTTCAGAGTGGACCCCTTTGCTTTCTAAACTTCTCAGAGAGGAGTCTAGGCCTAGCTGGATCCACCTTTACTCCCAGACACGGTCAGTGGTTTATGTCTAAAAAGACTGTATGTGCATAATCAATCCTTTCTATCCCTTAGATAAGATTTCAAAGTTTTATCATGCTATTAATCACTTAACCTGATAATCTGTTGCAGCAAAGACTCTCTAGACCTCGAGGAGTAACCTTGTGAGGTGTCCCTACTAAAGGGGAGATCCTGGCGTGCAGCCTGCTGCTGTGCAGGAGAGCTGAACCGGCCCTGGGCTGCCCAATGTTTATGGAGTAATATAATTGACTCGTATTTACATACTGACTACAGAAGATATTTCTTCCAAATTTAGATAAGTCAGACATTGCCAGCACTGTGGTCACAGAATCCCAGAATCATCTGGGTTGGAAAAGCCCTTGCAGCTCCTCCAGCCCCACCATGACCCTCCCCCTGACCGTTCCCAGCTCCCCCAGATCCCTCAGCGCTGGCTCAGCCCGACTCTTCAACCCCTCCAGGGATCCCGGGGACTCCCCCCTGCCCTGGGCAGCCCATTCCAACGCCCAACAGCCCCTTCCCCACAGAAATCCTTCCTCAGAGCCAGCCTGACCCTGCCCTGGGCAGCTTGAGGCCATTCCCTCGGGGCCTGGCGCTGGGGCCTTGGCTCCAGAGACTCATCCCCCCTCTCTGCCCCCTCCTGGCAGGGAGTTGCC